TTTTCTTCACACATGCCGGGCAAAATCCCAACCTGGTTAAACTGAAATCTTTGCCATCTTCATGCTAACTCCCAGGTAGCTGAATATGGCTGGAGAGAAACAATAACCCTGACCGGGGACTGGTCTCACTTCAACTTCATGGCCACTAAGCTCACTGGGGCCCCGTGCAGCTTCCCAGGGACCCTGCTACATTCCCTAATCCATTCATCCCCCATTCTCCTATGGGACGAGCTCACATTTCCTCTCTCCTGAAACCTCCAACAGTCCTTTCCCACACTCCCTCACTGCCAGTGATTTTGCTCCTAATTTCACTGAGAAACTTGAAGAAATCCAAACTTCTACAGCCCCCACCACATCTGCCAACCCCCAGCCTGCATCAGTCTCTATACCCTCTATCTTTCCTCCTGTTACTGTGCCGAAACAGCCCATCGTCCATCTAAGGGCAGCTCCTCCACTTGCTAGATGCCGTCTCCTGCGGTCACCATGGAGATGTGCTGCCCAGACCCCCCTTCTAGGAAGGTCCTGGTGCCCAGCTCTGGAGCCCGCACTCAGCAGCCTCCATCCATCAGCTGCCTCTGGCCTGCCACAGCTGCAGAGTCACTTTGACTGGGGTCACGCTATTCCTGGGGCAGCTTGTGTGCAGTGACTGAGCAAGGCAGGGTGTAAAGTCCCAGCCAGGTTGGACACTCTGCAGAACAGTACTCACTCCAGACCCCCCCAGAGGGTTGGCTGAGGCTTTGTTGTGTCTGCTTCAAGCTTTGACCTCCTCCCCTGCCCCATCATGTGTCCTCCCCTTCCTTTCAGAGGTATTGATCCCTAATAAGTATTTCTGGCACCCTCAAATTCTGCTTCAGCATCTGCTTACAGAGAAGCCAACTTGACAACCTATTTCAGGCTGGCTCCAGTTATTCCCTCTCTCTCTTTCATCAGCAGTTGTCCCCTCTCTACTGATTCATTCCCATCATCATATAAACATACAGTAATACCTCCCTTCTTAAAAGCCAAATTCCTTTCATGGTACAAAATTAATACACAGAAATCTGTTGCATCCCTATATACAAACAATACAACTAGCAGGAAGAGAAATCAGGAAAACAATTCCACTTAAAATTGCATTAGAAAGAATAAAACACCTATGAACAAACCTAACCAAGGAGGTGAAAACTGTAAGACACTCATGAGAGAAATTAAACAAGACACAAATAAGTGGAAATATAGCCCATGCTCATGCATAGGAAGAAGTTAATATTGTCAAAATAGCATTCCTGCCCAGAGCAATTTACAGATTCAGTGCAATCCCTATCAAAATACAAATGGCATTTTTCAATAAATTAGAGCAAATAATCTTAAAATTCATATGGAACCACAAAAGACCCTGAATAGCCAAAGCAATCCTGAGAAAGAAGAACAAAGCTGGGGGTATTATACTCCTTGACTTCAAGCTGTACTACAACACTACAGTAATCAAAACATTATGGTACAGGCACAAGAACAGACCCATATATCAATGGAATGAATATACAGCCCAGAGATACAAACCCACACATATATGGCCAATTGGTGTACCATAAAGGAGCCATGAATATACAATGGGGAAAAAGACAGCCTCTTCAATAACTGGTTTTGTCAAAACTGAACAGCTACATGCAAGAGAATGAAACTGGATCACTGTCTAACTCCACACACGGATGTAAATTCAAAATGGATTAAAGACCCAAATGTAAGACATGATACCATATAACTCTTAAAAGAAAACATGCAAAAATTTCTTGAACATAAGCATGAACAAGTTTTTTCTAGACACATCTCCCTGGGTAAGAAAAACAAAATAAAAAATGAACAAGTGGGACTACATCAAACTAAAAAGCTTCTACACAGGAAAGGACACTATCGACAGAACAAAAAGGCAACCTACAATATGGCAGAATATATAGATGACTAACAGGCACATGAAAAGATGCCCCACATCACCGATCATCAAGGAACACCAAAGCCACAGTGAGATGCCACCTCACACCAGCCACAATGGCCGCCACTCAAAAGACAAGAGATAGCAAGTGTTGGTGAGGATGTGGAGAAAAGGGAGCCTCCTACACTGTTGGTGGGGATGTCAATTGGTGCAGGCACTGTGGAAAACAGTATGAAGGTTCCTCAAAAAACTAAAAATAGAAATACCACATGACCCACCAATTCTACTTCTAGGAATTTACCTGAAGAAAACAAAATCCCTGGTTCAAAAAAATATATGCAGCCCTGTTTATTGCCTCATTATGTACATAGCTAAGATATGGAAGCGACCAAAATGTTCATCAACAGATGAACAGATAAAGAAGAGGTGGCACATATACACAATGGAATATTATTCAGCCATAAAAGAAGAGATCCTGCCATTTGCAACACCATGGATGGACCTAGAGGGTATTAGGCTAAGTGAAATAAGCCAGGTGAAGAAAGATAAATGCCATATGATTTCAATTGTGTGTGGAATCTAAAAACAAAATGAAATGAACAAAATAGGAGTAGCCTCAGAGACACTGAGAAGTGACTGGTGGTTACCATGGGGGAGGGGCTGGGGTGGGTGAGTGGAGAAGGGGAAGGGAGCAGAGGGGCACAAAAATTCTCAAGCATACTATAAGTTGGTTATGGGGACGGCAGTGCAGCACACAGAATATAGCCAATGATGCTGTAACATCTTCCTATGTTGACAGATAGTAAGTGCACTAGTTGGGGTGAGGATTTAATGTGGATAACTGGTGAACCACTGTGTTGTGTACTTGAAACTAATATAAAGTTGTGTATCAGCTAAAGTTCAATTTTTTAAAATGTATTAAAAAAAAAAAAAAACCTCCTTTGAGCTACTACTCCATTTCTCTGCTCCCCTGAATAGCAAAATTCCTGGAAAGAGTGACTGAATCCATTCCTTGCCTGCCTGTCTCTCTCTGTCCCCACTCCGTACTTACCACTCCACGGAAACTGCTCCCGTGTCACCGATACCTCATCCTTGTTACAGGCAATGGCTAATTCTCCGTTCTCATCCCACCTGTGACCTTTCAGCAGCTTCTGACTGAGCTGATCACTCTCCTTCTTAGACACTTCTTAATCATTTGTCTTCTGGAGACACGATTTCCACTTCATTCTCCTCCCACATCACTGGGTACAGTTGCTCCTTCTCATCTCTGCTGGTTCTTCCTCTCCTGAACCTCCAAACACTGGAGAGCTCCAGGTACAATCCTGGCCCTCTCCTCACCCTGCTGGTACTCACTCTGTTGGTGATCTCACCCACTCTCAGGTTTAAATACCATCCACATGTTGACAACTGCTAAATCTGTATCCTGAGCTAGAGCCTCTTCCCCTGAATGCCACTCTCACATCCAGTTGCCTATTCTCCATCTCCATTTAGACGATGACAGGGACCTCAAACCTAACATGTCCAAAACAGAACAACGGATCCCCTTCACCGCCACCTCTTCCTCCTACCAACAAAAGCATGCACCCCGCTTCTGGCCCCCTGCCCAATCCCTGAGGTCTTCCTCATCTCAGTAGATGGCTACTGAGTTCTTCTGGTTATCGAACCAAAAATCCAAAGTCATCATTGACTTTTCTCTTATACCCCACGCTCAATACTTTGAAGAATTCTTCAGAATTTATCCGGTCTTTCTGCCCTGCTTTCATTTACTTAAGATCTCTTATCAAATGTCATCTTATTAAGATCTTCCTTAATTATCAAATATGTAAAGTCAAGTCCCACCCACCCGGACTGGTACTTCCTATCTCCTTTAACCTGCTTTACTTTTACCACCATTTGTCATACAATATATTCACTTGTGTATTTGCTCCTAATCTCGGCTAGAATATGAGCGTGAAGACGAGAGGGACTTAGTCCTACTTGCCAAGCCCTGGTGACAGGCAGCGCAGCTGCTCACTACAATGCCAAGGGAATAGCGCCGGCACTGGGCAAGGACAGGCACGTGAGCGCACAGCTGAAGGACGTGAGGCTGCAGATCATTCGAAGATTCTGAGAAAAAATGAAGGCGAGAGCCCGAAGGTAGAAATGAGCTTGGCTTTATGGGGGAACATCAGAGGCTGGTGGGACTGAAACAGCCACTGTGTCGGGGAGACGAGGTAAAAGCTGTCAGCAACTGGAGTACGTAGGACCTCAAAAGCCGTAAGTATTTTGAATTTTATTCCAGTTAGGATTGGGAACCACTGGCGAGTTTTAAGCAAGAAATTATGCAATCTGATAATTAAAAAGAAAAAAATCACCTTGGCTGCTATGTGGCTAGTAGGGGACTAGACTATGCGGCACTGTGGATGCCACCAGACCAGTGAGAGGCTATGAAGAAATCCAAGCAAAACAAAAAGGAGTGGACAAGGTTTGAATGGCAACAGCAGGGTGCAAAATGGCATAGAACGTAAGGGTAGAAATGACAGAATTTGCTTATGCGTTCGCTAGACGCCCAAAAGGATTTAAAGAAAATGTTTAATTTTTGCCCTGCAACCCAGAGGCCTTTCAGGTAAATGTCACTGACCTTATTTCCTTTAAGGCCACAGAGTGAACGGCTCCTTCGGGCAGCCGGGGGAGGAGTTGGGGGGAATAAGGGGCTGACACACTGAAAGAGGGAGCATTTGGGGAGCCCCGAGTTCCGCCCCGGGCAGGTGGCGTCCAGCCGGGCTGCGGCGCGGCGCACGGGCCCTCCGGCCGCCCGGGCGGCCCCGTCCCCGCGACACGGACTCTCGGCGTGACGGGCTGGCCCCTGGCGCCGGCGACTCCGCGGGACGGAAACTTCTCCCCCGCGCGGCGCCGCAGCCCCTCCTCCGGGAGCGCGCGGCGGACACAGTGCGCGCGCAGGCCGCCCCCGACCCGCGCGGCCGCACTCCCCGCGCGAGGCCGGACGCCGGACCCCGCCCTCCCTTCCCGCGGCCCCGCCCCCCAGCGGGGGCACCGCCCCGCCCCCCGCGCGCCCGCGCTGCCCGCGGCGCTGATTGGTCGCCGCATTCCCGCTCTCCTTCCCGAACCGCCATTTTGAAAATCTTGTTGATTTCGGGGAGCCGAGCGCGGGGCGAGTGTCCCCCGGAGAGCAGCCCGCGCGCCTCCCCTTCGGCGCCCGCCTCCGCCTCCAGAGCCCCTTCGTGCCCTTGGCAGACCCGCGGCGGCCGGGACCGGCGGTGAGGGCTGCGCCCGGGGCGGGAGGCCAGGATGCGGCGGCGGGCCCGCGCGCGCGGCGCCGCGGCCATTCGGTCGGCGGCCCGGGGTGGGGGGAGGGGCCGGGCGGGGGGGCGCGGCGGCGGAGCCCGCGGGCCCGCCGCGCAGGGAGCGGCGCCGGAGGGGGCGGGCGGGGGCGCGGCGGCCTCCGCCCGGGCCGCGGCACCGAGACGTGTGGCCTCCCCGCCGCAGGCCGCCAGCATGTCCTCCCCGGGCCCCGCCGCGGACGGAGAGGGGGCCCCCGGGCAGCCCGCGTCCGAGAGGGAGCCCGACCTGCCCGACGCGAGGGACGAGAGTGAGGAGGAGGAGGAGGACGGCGGCGACGACGAGGAGGAAGGTGGGGAGGCCTCCGGGGGGCCGCCGCGCGAGCGGGGCTCGGTCTTTGTGCCCGACGCCGCGTGCGAGTGGTTTTCCGCAGGAGTGTTTGCGCGATCGCCCTGCTCTTGTGTTCAGCAAGCAGGGCGTTAAACTCTGCGAGTCCCAGTTTTCAGAAGTACTGGTCACGCGTATTTCGGAGCTGAGCTGACTTCCCGCCAGCAGTTCGCGTCCAAAGCGTTTCCCATTTGACAGGAAGTTTGTACGTTTCAGATCTGTTCCCAGCACAGCCGTGGGAGTCCCCGAGATAATGTTTTCAGTCTCCTGCTGATGCACTTAGTACTCGTCGTCTGCGTTTTGAAGTCGCTGTAAGGTCTTCGGGAGCCACAGATCAGACCTTAAAGGGGTTCATCAGTGCTGGTCCTGGGACTGTGTTAATAATTCTGATACACCTGCTGAGCCTCAGCAGAGGTGCAGAGTTTGAAAGGCTTAGGGGGAGTTCCTTGCCCGGGGAAGCCCCGGGGAAAGCTGTGGCTGCCCGAGAAAGTTAACTGAAAGCAGCGAGCTGTGAAAGTTCCGTGTAGCCGAGCGCTCTCGGTTTCGGAGTGGAAGGAGAGCCGGACCACCCGTCCCCTGAGGGGGTGAGCCTGAGCCTCCCGGGACGAAGGGCCGGTGCTGCGGCGGTGGGTCCCGGACGCATGGGCAGCTGCCCCAGATCTTTAGGAACAGCTTCCCAACATGTTTCCAGCCACTTAAAAACTCCGCACCCCCGGCCTGGGCATTCTCTGCTGATAATAGCCTGGGCGAGGCTTACTCAGCATGTGGTCACAACTCTGCCAAACTTGCGGAGAGGTTTGAAGTTTCCTTTCCAAACCTGCGTTTTACTTGCCCATTTCTTTTATGCCTAAACCAGCCCATGGTCAGCATTTTGTAAGTAACAGCCTGGGTTGAGATCACAGGGTATGTCTTTTGATGTTTAAAGTGGTTAGGTGCTCTAAGAAGGGAGCATGTCCGCTTGTGTACACAAATGCTTAGAAAAAAGTATAAATGATATTTTAAAATACAGTGAGAATTGGCTGCAGTGTCTCACTGCTAGTCCAAAGCTTTCTCTGTGCGTTTTCCTCCAATTTTTTTGTTTTTGTTTTAAGACAAAGTATGGATGCCCCAGAGATGAAGAATTTCTTAATGTCAGGAAAAATTTTAGGTTTAAAAATACTGTAAATGGCCAACACAGCAATGCTTGGGGAATTAGTGGTAGTTCAAATTGTGATTTTCTTTTTTAAAACATGAACATTAAAAAAAAAATCTCCATGTAGTTCTGTAGTTGTTATTTTTCTGTGTCCCTCATTCAAGGTGTTTGTAGAACAACTAAGATTGTGAACATTTTTATCCTACTTAGCTCTGAAAATTTAACTCTGCTATTTAGGCATCATAGAATACAAGGCAGTGCATCTTTGCCGAATAAGGGGTGGGCCTGGCTGAACTTGTGGGTGGTGTGGTGGGGGGGATGCCTGGTAAAAGATGACTCCTAGGTTTCTGTCTTTGGCAGCTGTGTGATACTGTTACTGTTCCTGAAAAACAGAACTCACAAAGGTGAGCAAGTTTGGAAATGATTATGGCTCCTGTTTTTGATGTTTTGAGTTAGGTTCCTGTAGGATATGAAGTGGAGTGTCTAGTTGGCAGCCCTGTTGGTTGATGTGAAGCTCAGGAGAAAGGTCTGGACTGGAGATAGACCAGGGAAGTCATCAGTTTATAGATGGAATTAAAGGCAAACAAATGGTTTAAATCACTCACGGAAAGGAAGCAGGGTGATACCAGGGTTGCTTTAGGGTGCTTTCCCTTCGTTCTGTGCCCAGTCGCCAGGGTAGGCCTGCTGGAACCACTTTCTCCTTACCAATTCTTTGCAAATCCTTACATTTACAAATCTTACCTATCCTTCAAAGCCAGCTTCAATGTTTTGATAGTTTTTCCCTAATCCAAAAGTAATTACTCCTCAACTAACCAAACTTTGATGTCTATCTTTGTTAAGGTGTTTTATCATAGTACTTTAGAGTATAATTGTATCTCATTGCCCCTAGTAGACAGACATGATCTCAAGAGATACTCAGTGTCTTATTTTATCATCCCCGTGCCCCCTTAGTGTCTAGTGCAGCTTTGTGCAGAACAGGCATTCAGTTGAATGAATGGAAGGACCTCCGACGATATGTAGTGTCCTCTTATTTATCTAATTAATGTCAGTCAGGTACGTGGTTTTAGAAAATCAAAATTAATGTGTTGTTTTGAAGTATATGTTATGTATGTATTTCCTACCCTTTTTTTAAAAAAAAGTCCAGACTAAACAATTTAACTTCTTTAGAATGATTTATGACCTTTATTGGCATCATTTATTAAACTATAAAGTAACCCTTTTCCAATTGATTGCAGGAAATGTAAACTTGTAGAATTTTACCTTATTCATGTTAACTCCTGATTGCTGTTTTAAGGTCCTTGTTTTTCTTTTGTCAGTTTACTAAATTAATGCTTTTTTGTGTGCATCTTTTGAGGTTCTTATAATCTCTATCTAAACTTGATGTTTTCTGATGTACAGTAAACTATGAGTCCCAATTGAAAGAGAAGGCTTGGTGAAGGCGATTTTTCACACAAAGTGACTGGGCTTTTATAGCAGTCACTGCAGTTGGCTAAAAGTTTGTTTGCCTTCTGATTTTTTTTTTTTTTATTGGATCCCCTGTAAGGTTGCCAGGTAAATAAAAAGTTACTCTAAAAACAGTTCAGTGATGCCATAAACTTAACAAGTATTTTCTTTTCTTTTTTTATAATGGTTCAGCATTCATTAACAAACAAATATTTTCATCTTTGTTAGGTCATTTGCTTCTCAAAGTTATGCACAGGAGAATAGTAAGGTATTAGGTTTCTGTGATTTTTTTCCTACATGTTTATGCAACAAAGTGAATATTCTTTAAGCTTTTGTTATTTAAGAAGTATCAAATTAATTTCTAGAAAAGAGCCTCATCGTGGAAGGCAAGAGAGAAAAGAAAAAAGTAGAGAGGTTGACTATGCAAGTCTCTTCCTTACAAAGAGAGCCATTTACAATTGCACAAGGTAAGTTTATTCTGTTCCTTTCATTTTACAGTGAAATATCTAAATATGCAAAATGATGGTTAGCAGTGCTTAGTTTTTAATGTTTATTAAGTAGTAATACATTATTGATGTAATATTATTTAATCAGCCCTATCAGAGTACGAGTTATATTTATATTCTGTAAAAATAATTCTTACTAAGTTAACCTTTGTAAATGTATTAACACTTAATGGGGTTTTAGATTTAATTACTATGGTTTTTTTCTTCTCCCCCCTAGGAAAGGGGCAGAAACTTTGTGAAATTGAAAGGATACATTTCTTTCTAAGTAAGAAGAAAACGGATGAACTAAGAAATCTACATAAACTGCTTTACAACAGACCAGGCACAGTAAGACTTTTTTTTATACCTTTAACTTAGTAGCAGATTTATGCATTAAGATACTTCACAATAGAAGTGTAATTTTCATTCTGGAAAGGACTTTAGGCATCGGCTAGTTTGATGTCTGTACCATACAAGTAAGTAAACTTGAGATGTGTTCTTGTTAAATGACTTAGACACATAGCTGGATATTCGCAACAAAGATTGTCAACGTCCTTTCTACTGTAGTTTTTATGTCAAACTGAAATTTCAGATTGTTACGGTTTTAGTGATCTTTAAATGTATTGAAACATTTATTTTTTGGATAGTTCTTGTTATTTGGAATAAATGATACAGTATAACTGAATCTTATTTTGAGCAAGCAAATATCTGATAAATTAGGTGGTAGATATTTGCCAGTGGATTTGTTAGAGTCAGTGTTTCACTCACTAAATTATTGTACACACAACTTCATTATTCTGAGGAAACTTTGCTTTGGGTTGTGCATGATCAGAATAAAGTGTGACCGTGTTAGAAGAGAATGTCTGAATCATGGTGTAATTATTTTCATGTGTGTGATCTCATTCGCTCCTCAGCAGCCTCGTTTACACCACTTCCTTACTGCTCAGTGGCTTAACTTTTAGAGGAGCGCTGTTCTTCACTTTTCAAAGAATAAAATATCTGACTTCCTAATTTGGAAAGTAAGAAATATTTCTAGTGACTTGTATTACTTGGGGAGAAGATGTCTTTTTAGGTACAGTTGACCTTTGGACAACACAGATTTGAACTGCACAGGTTCACTTAAAAATAGATTTTTTTTCAATAAATAAGGAAATTCTTTTGGAGATTTGCAACAACTTGAAAAAGCATTTTTTCTCTAGCTTACTTTAGTGTAAGAATACAGTATATAATACATATAACATACAAAATATGTGTTAATCAGCGGTGTATGTTATCAGTACAGCTTCCTATCAACAGTAAAGTTCTTGGGGAGTCAAAAGTGATACGTGGATTTTGACTATGATGGGTTTACACCCCTGATCCCTGTGTTCAAGGATCAACTGTAGCACAGTCACTTTATTCCCTGCAACTGTCAGACAGCATTTAGTTGTGGTTTTATCATTACCAATAAAAATTCCCAGATGGAAATTCATTCAGTTTCACGTTGTTTTTCACATAACTAAGTTTGTAAGCCTTTTGTAATGTTAATATTTTAGTAACAAATACCGTTTTCAGTTGTGAATAAGAACTGTTGAATAAACCAATATGGTAACTTGGAAGACATTGTGCTAATAATGGTATTGGCTTTGAATTTTTTCTTGTGTACTTTACTAGGTAATAAATTGCATTAATAATAAGAAACATTTTCAGGTGTCCTCATTAAAGAAGAATGTGGGTCAGTTCAGTGGCTTTCCATTTGAAAAAGGAAGTGTCCAATACAAAAAGAAGGAAGAAATGTTGAAAAAGTAAGTTTTATTATAAATATCATGATTTGATCAGTGTGCTTTACATTTATTTTAAAACATTTAAATATGACCCCCCATACATTTTCAGTGGACTGTTAATTCTTTGCCAAATACCAAGACCTGATTTGTCTTCATAACCATCAACTTGGGATGTCCACTACTTTCTAATGAATAGTGACTACTAAGATTACTGAAAACTCAGACCTTTATGTTTTTTAGATGCGTGATAGACATAGGTAAATCACTCATACAGACCAAAAAGCAGGTCTAAGGGGAATACAGTGAATTCTATATAGGGAAGGTAGAGTTCTTCCAATCCTGTGCCCTGTTAGGCATTCTGCTCCCACACATGTAAGTGCCTTTGAAGCTATTGTGAAGATAACGTGATAAAAACTGTCCTTCACTGTAAGCAAAATGTAGATTCTTAGAGTTTATTAAATCCCCAGTAGTTTAAGTACTCTAAATTATAAAGATGATTACCTATTCCTTCGCTGAAACATTGTCATAGTAGGAATGCTAAGGGGAAAATGTAATATTTAATCACCAGCCAGAAGAATTATCATGTCCATGAATTTTATAATATTGAAAACTTTTCACACTGTTTTCTAGTAATTCACTTGGTTTATTCTCTTATTGCCTTTAAAACTTAAGTGATGTTTTCAGTTTACTAATAATCATGTCGGGTTGTACTTTGTACATGAGTCAAGTTTATTAGAAGCACTTCTAAGACGGAGGAGGTTGGCTGCTCTTTTTAATGTTTGTAGCTGAGCCAGTTTGCTTAGCTGTTGTCTTCATTGTGGATAATGTTTATAAACGTTCCTACATAATCACCCTAGTTTCTTCCATTTTCTGTTTCAGATTTAGAAATGCCATGTTAAAGAGCATCTGCGAGGTTCTTGATTTGGAGAGATCGGGTGTAAATAGTGAACTAGTGAAGAGGATTTTGAATTTCCTAATGCATCCAAAGCCTTCTGGCAAAGTAAAGACCAGTTTTTACTGTTTCAGTAACATCACTTATTTATAGTCTCTGCTTACTTTCTCTTTTATGGAACAATTTAGTTAGTGAGCAGTATTGCTGTCAACATTCAAAAATATCTTCTACAGCCAAAGAATACGCCTTCCATTGACATCTACAACAGTTTCACATAGAAACAATAAGAAAAACGTGGATATGTTCTTCGTTATCAGATGTAATATGTATAAGATAAAGAAAAATAGTTATTAGCTAAATTGATGTCATATGGGATAGAAATACAAACTAAGTATCCAGGATTGTGTATCTAGAAGGCACTAGGAAAAGAAACAGGTTGAGTTGAGGATGAGGTAGGTGATGGGCTGGTGGGGGAGGATGTGCAACCTGTAAACAGGAAAGTCAGGATGGGGGTGTTAGAACTGGGGATTTTCTAGGTACTGAAATAAGGTTATGACACATGACTTTCGGAAAGCTGATGCTTACCAGTTTCTTGGATTAGGTTTCCAGAATCCTCAGCAGGGCCCAGGAACACGACAGGGAGGTAAAATGGCCTTACAATTTCTCCCATTCTTCCTAAAATGTGGATTAGGTTTGCCCTAATTGTTTAGCAATAGCAAATAATATCACTGACTTAAAACATCTATTGAAATGTTACGTGATCTTTCGTTTTCAGTTTAAGTCTGTCATTAAGTATTTTCATTTTCTTGCTCATTTTGATAGCAAAGAAATTTGGAAGAGATCCAGGGGGCCTGAGGGCCCAAAGGAACACGTGGTGAGGGGAGAAGGCGTAAAGACTAGACCGGAAACCAGCCCTGAGGCTTTGTTTCTGCGCTCCTGGTCCTGTTTACCCTTAGCTGGGCAGGGACAGATGAGTGACGTGTATGTCGAGGGGTATATGGTGATTCTCTTGATGTTTTGGACTGGCCTATTAAAGATGAGAAATTACCTGTTTTTCTAAACTTTTACTAAAGGCCGTCCTCTACTTTAGAATTTCAAGTGACAAGTTGAACACTATTTCCCCAGAAACAGTTAACTAAGTTAAGGTTACTAAGTATGTAGTTACATACATTAAGTATATAGTTAGTACATACTAAGTTAACAGTTACCTAAGTATAAGGAATGTGTTGCTATTCATTTTTTCCTCAGTGATTTTCAAATGTGTTGGTTTCAGGACCCCATTGCCCGCTTAAAAATTAGTGAATATCCCAAGAGCTTTTGTTTATGTGGGTTGTTTTGATATTTATTGTATTCTAAATTAAACTGAAAAATTCTAAACTAACAGCCCACTATATGTTAGCAGAAGTAATATTTTGTGAATGAAAAATAATTATACTTTCACAAAAAATAGAAGAATGGTACTTTGTTTTTGCAAATTTGTTTATGTGTGGCTTAAAGAGAAGATGGCTCTATTCTCATTGGCTTTTGCATTTCAGTCTTTTGCAATGTATTGTCTTGCTTGACGTATATGGAGAAAATCCAGCCTCACACAGGTATATAGCTGGAAAAAAAGGAATATTTGGAAAACCCTGTCAAATAAATGTGGATATTCTCCTTTGATAAACCACCAAAACTCCACAGTAGTAGTTTCTTAAAGGTTAGTTGTAATGTGTTATGTGAAACCATGGCAGTGAACTTGCACCTTTTACCTATGTATGATTTTATAATACGCATTCACCATTTGGGAAATAATTGGTTCCCTGAACTACACAGATTTTCCAAATGTTGGTACATTTCATTGAACAACGTCAGAAAGTTATATTTGTTAATATAACCACCATCTCATCAAAAAAAAAAAAAAATCTCAGTGTTGGGAGGCTGTCAAGTGCATAGAGGTGAATTTTCCAGAATTCTAATTTTCACTTGAAGTTTACCGTTGACAGTAAATACTGTCAATTGTTTTCCTTGAAGTGACAGGCTTTCAGGTTCTTTTTTGAGAACATGTCTGTTAAATATGTATGTCTGTATAAGCATAGTTTTTCAATCACCTTTTAAAACCAGTATTCTGTAAAAAAGTAGCTAGCTTAGTTCACAACTCAATTACACAAGTGATTTTCCTTGAGAAAGCCAGTGAACTTCAATATACAGCCAAAGTACTCTATATATACCTCCCGTTTTGTTAAAGACATGTATTTAGAGGTCGAGAGTTAGTACGATTAATACAACTTCATCAGTATTCAAGTGAAGCGCCGACCTCCCGCTCGTGAGTGGTTGTGCAGTATGACTGCCAGCACGGTGCGGGGCCAACCGTTCCACTCAGCCTTTGCTTGTGCACAAGCATTGCATGTTTCAGCACAGTGAGAAGAGCAAATAAATAATGCCTTGATGTTATGAAAATAATTTTGACTTTGTAGGTTTCTGTGAACGTCTCATGAAACCTCAGGGTCCATGAACCACACTTTGAGAACCACTGTCTTATCCTTTCCTAAGGAAGCTAACTCTTAAATCTGTTTTTCATATCTGATTCCATAATGTTATGCTGTAATCTGATAGTATTGATCTCAAGCTCTTTTCTGGGCTTCCATACAATTGTGTAATTTAAGTAAGACACTATAAAAATTTAATACTAACTTTTTCTTCTCTATAATAGTCAGTGGATTTTACCAAATGGATTCGGTTGCTGGTAATAGTCGGTAATGGTAATAATTCACATAACAAGGGTATCTACACATTCCAGGACATTTCTTGTACACGGCCCCTCTGAGAAATATCTTTGGTCTATGAACTTCACATCTCTGAAGTGGTCTCAGTTGGCCCTTGAGAAGTTGGGCGGTCTAGGCAAACTAGGGGCTCCTGTGGACTGCAGACAGCCTGGGAGCACTACGTCACAAAGCAGCCACTTCTGCTTAGTTTTCTGTGCAGGCGACAGTCACCCGGATGACTGGAAGTTCCTGGGAGAAGGGGCCTGTGGCTCTGCTAGTTTAATGAAAGATGAGCACTAACATTTATACAGCTGTGCATCTTAAAGTTATATTATGGAACTTTCCTTAATGTTCCTGCTTATTGCTGAGAGTAAAATAGCATGGGCAAAAATAAAACAGAAGATACCCATGATTTCAGAAATCAGGAATTTTATTTCCTTAGTATATTATCTTTTCAGATCCTTTATGCAAGCTGTCATAGAACTATATTATGGTTTTCAATTTCAGAAGTTAGCAAACACTCCCGTAAGAAGGCATTTATGCTGGGTCATACAGTCAAATCATTTTCCTCATTTGAGCAATGCTGCTTTTTAAATATGCATGGTTTAATTGACTATCAGAGGAATAGCAGTGCACTTGTTTTGTAGTTCTTAATTAGTTTCATAATTAACATCCTCAGCACTAATTGGATATTTAGAATCATCAGTGAGAATATAATCCTGGCATTATTGAAAGTAGAACCCAGAGGTAATAAGAATATAAACTGTATGGTTCATAAATTCAGGGTGTGTAAAGTAGGGTTTTATTTCCTTCATGGATGGTCCTGCCCAGTCCTCTAAGTAGTGAGATGAACTACAAGTTTCACTCTAAACTGTATGGTTCATAAATTCAGGGTGTGTAAAGTAGGGTTTTATTTCCTTCATGGATGGTCCTGCCCAGTCCTCTAAGTAGTGAGATGAACTACAAGTTTCACTCAAAGTCCTGTCTCGGTAAGGTGTGAACAACTATCTGAGTTTGCTACAGAGTGTAGTTGGGCTTCTGGTTCCATGTCAGAAACAGAGTATGTACTTCTTTCAACATTTGTAGAACGTTAAGAATGCCTGCATGTTAAGAGTGAATGGTCATTGGTAACAGACCAAAAATGAACTTCTCATATTAAAGATGATTATTCTCTGTAAAACTGCTAAGCTTGGAAATTTTATTAATTGAGTGGATATCAAAAGTAATTGATTGACTTGGAAGTATATTACCTCACTGGTGTTATCTGTGTTTCATGCAGCCATTGCCAAAATCGAAAAAGTCTTTTAGCAAAGGCAACAAAAAGGAACGGAATAGTTCTGGAATGGCCAGGAAAGCTAAGCGAGCCAGATGTCCCGAGATCCTGTCAGATGAGTCTAGCAGTGATGAAGATGAGAAGAGAAACAAGGAGGAGTCTTCAGATGATGAAGATAAAGAGAGTGAAGACGAGGTAAAATGTTGAGTGTTTCCTCAGTTGTTTGTATGGCAAGAGTTAATTAAATATCCTGCTATATAATAGTTATGGCCAGAAAACAGTTCCAGGAACTCTCAGTACCATATTGGTTGCTTTTAGACAGAGAAATAGTTAAGTATAATCCTTTCTTTCCCTTAAGTCGCTTTTAGTTGTATTGCCACGCCAGAGTGTAGGGGTTGGAAAAGACTGAGGTTGGTGTGGGGTGGATTCGACCTGGACCTTGCAGACTCGGGTAGGTAAGTGGGACATGAGAGGACGGGAGGAGGGGCGCACGTCCTGAGCGGGAACACAAAGGAGCAGATTTTTTTTTCTTTGTATTTTTGCATTGTGTATTCATATTTTATCACTGACTTGAACTATTTTATCCTGTTTTATACAAAAAGCAAGTATTTAAGTGCCATCATGTTTTCTCAACTTGAGGATTATTAATGAGAATAACAGCACTTGAACTTTATTTGATTGGTGGGGAGGTTTTTTATCACTTAGGAATTCCTGCCATTTTCTTTAACTTGGGAGTATTTGTAAAATGCTGAGAATATTTAGTTTCCAAAGTGAAACTTCAGGAAGAGGAGAAGTTTGCCAAACCATTTAAAGGGTTAATTTTATCCTCTCTTTGATGTGTGTCTTTAGTCAAGGAGATAAATAAAAGTGGTACAAGGAGATGATTTCTTATGTTAACAGTGTTTTGGTGACCCCTTCAGTGGTCAGAACTTGCTTTGTAAATTGGGTTACCTCCCCTGTCTTATTTAGGAACTTGATTAATGTGGCCTGAGGTTTGGGGCCAAGATGATTCCTCATTGTGAAGGGCCATCTTGAGCTTCGTAGAGTGCCCACTAGATGCAAGTAGCACCCATCCGCAGTCTCCTGTTGTGAAAACCAGACGTGTCTCCAAATTGCCAAATGTCGCCCTGGGGTGCAGAGTCACCATCAGTTGATAACCCCTGCATTAGAAGGAGTAAAGATGTGGTGAACTCTGATTTCACATGTGTGTATATTTTGTATACGTCTGTCTTTTGGGATTTAAAATCCACAATTATTTTAATGTCAAATTTTATAGAGTTTTGTAAAGCTAATTGTGAAATGCTTCTTGATTGTAGAGTGTTGCAGATCTAGCGTGTGTTTCATAAATATCAATACATTTTTAGTGTGATGGAAGATGAGTAATCTGAATACTAAGGTTTTTATGGAATAGATTTTAAGGATATTGGGGAGAAAGACATGTTGTTTATATGTGAATATACATTATTGGCAATTTTGCAATAATAGTATTCCTATTCAAGAAATTTTTGGTTATCTGCTAAGTGTATTCACTATGCTTCCTAAAGTCTTTCTAAAGGCAGACGTAAAGCATGAAAAGTTGTCATAGAGGATAAACACAAGTTTTGTCATAGAGGCAATATGATTATGAGCATGGACTTTGGAAACTATCAGGGATTCATATCTCAGCTGTATCTTTATCATTGTTTGATTTTGGGCAAGTTACTTATAAATTGCCTATACCTAAGCTCCCTGTCTGTAACATGAGGGGTAAGAATGCTATCAGCTTCAAACGATTGTGTTAAAGGTTAAAGGTATTTCATACTCATTTGCTTACTTGCTTTCCAGTTTGTTGTCCCATTGTTCTAAATAGAGTTAGTTGAGGTCTGCGAATATGGATAACCGTGATTTATAACCATATTGGTTCATAGGTCATGGTAACAAGTGGAATAATACCACTATAAATCAAAGCCTTTCTTCTACAGGGCCACAAGCAAAGATCTTGTGCTGGCAACCCAGATCAAATGATGAAAATCCATGGAGGGAAAAAAGAAAACAAAAATGCTTTTAAAAGCACATTGAGTATATAATGTCACACAATATAAAAGCTATATCATAATGCTCTGTTTTCTGCCAGTTTTTCTGCTTGGTTTGGTACTGATAAGACTTAATAAAGTGCAATCCAGTGAAATCTGCTCTGAGAAAGCTTCCCCCCTGCCCCCCACTAAATGCCCCTCCAGCAGCATAGGTGTTCTTCGTTGCTCCAAAGATGCTTTCAAAACTTAGTGTTAACTTCCTCAAACCTTTGCTCCTGATTTCCACTTGTATGAAAGGTCCTAACTGCTTCTGAAAGGTAAGTGCTAGCGGGAAGAACAGTATTTCTATGGTAACTTTGTTTTTCCTTATTCTTCCATTGTTTTGAAGACTTGGTTAAGTGGCACTCTTGTTAGGAACTTCATAAAAGAAGTATTTTTGTCATGCTGTGAGAGAACCTCTTTTTTAAGAAGTCATAAAGGAGAGTTGCAGGTTGATTGGAAAAGTTGTAGATTACCTGTAGATGGAGTTTTTTTCAAAGAAAATTGCTAAGTTGGTATTATTTAATCTGTTTATTTCCTGGAATAAATTTTTCCTTCATAAATAAAAGATCATTAAGATCATCAGCCTCTTGTTCTGTTTTAGATTCTTAGAGTATGTAACTATAAACTTGGGTAGATTAATTTTAACATTTCTTGTTTTCTCTGTACACTGAGGGCTGTATTACTGCAATCAGAAATCTTAACTCCAGCAGAAATACAGGTCAAGTTAGTTGTCCATTGGCCATGTGAGGTCAAATACTATTCACCTGCTAATTTTCATATATTTAACTGTGTAGAAGAGTATACTTAATTTATAAGTAAATTTATTTCTTAAATGTATTGACATTGAAAACTACATAATTAGAACAGAATTGGTGTTTCTTAAAAAGTCTTTTATAAGAAAATATGTCACCGTTAGCATGTCAGCCAGTGATTGCCGAGACAGCTTGTTGGAGGGTCTCCGTGTTTGTCCCTCTGTTTCTGTGACCTGAAGTAAGCGGCTCACAGCAGCTCTTAATCCTTCTTTTCTTTAGAATTCAGTGAGAAGGGGCTCCTTCTGACAGTGACTTGGGTGGTAATTCCTTTATGAAAGAACTGGTTTAAACTTCAGCCTTGTGGCTCCTGGACATGTCCTTACCTAGGGGAGTAGAAGGGGGGTTCAGAACCAGGAGGAGAACGGTAGGTGGGGTGTCCATAAAAGTGAGAGAAAAGGAAATGGTAGGTTCAGTTATTTTCTGTGGACGTATTCTGAAAAAAACTCGTTCCCATATTGGGTTAGCATCTATAATTGGGATTGCTAAAATGAACTGGTGAGATTAACCAAGCTCAGCCATGACATTCACCCCAGGAGTTACGCCTCGAGCACAGAGAATTCCTGGGGAGTACTGAGAAAGGAGAAGCGGTTTACCACATGACAGAAAACAATTCTGATACTTTTAGACCCTTTAAAGCTTAAGTTTCTTTTTTTGATTTTATCCTATACTTTTTCAATTTTTGTTTCCCTGTGTTTTTATAGCACTTATCCCTAGAAAAGTATAAAATGAACAGTGTTTTTTTACTTTGTATTGACAGTTGCCTGAATGTTCCCATATGTATCAGGACTGTCTTCAGCTGTGAATACGTAAAACCTTACTAAGAATGTCCAAAACAGGAGTTAACGTCTATCATGACAGGAAGATCACAGACAGGGAATTCTGGGCCAGTGTAGCAGCTCAAGAAAGGTGTTGAGAGTTTGGGTACCATCTTTCTTCTTGAGCCATCATCTTTATATGTGGCATTTAATCTCATGATCACAAGATGATTGTTGTACCTATGGGCATTGTTTCCCTGTTCCCCATAGGGAAGAGCAAGGGGCTTTGTTCTGGTGGTGTTTTGGCTTTTTTTCTCTAGAAGGGGTGCCTTTTAGGAGAGGTCTACATGTACTTTATTACCTGGCCACCTCTAGCGGCAAGGGAAGCTGTGAGATGCAGGTTTTAGCTTTCCTGCCTCTACGGAAGGAAGGTGAAGAAAAAGGATGTTGAGTGAGCCATCCTATGCTGTTTGCCAGATCAGAGAAACTTTCCATTACAGGTTATGATAAACTTATATATTTATATTGGACCACTGAGGAAATTATTTGGTAGTGGTGTGAGTGTAAATGTGAAAGTTTTGTTCATCCTTAATTGTGTTTTAAAAAATAAGTATTCCTCCAACTCATAATTTGATCAGAGGAATCTCAAAACCTTATCAGCTATTGACACCTATTGTTGGAAGGCAAAGTTGGTCACTGTAATGGAATCTGCTTAGACTTCAACTTGCCCTTACAATCTTCTGTGGCGTATATAGCGAGACCTGCACATTCTTTCCTCTTGGCTTTCTTGAGTTTTCTCAGCCAAGTTGTTAAAAGAATAGTGTGTTTTAAGCTAATATTAATTTTGTTCATCTGTTCACCCAGTACCTTTCCGCTGTGAGGACAGAATTCTGGCTCTGTGACAGGCGTCTTTTTTGGAGACCCTTCTTCAAGAGCCCTGCTGCCTATAAGCCATAGGTAAGCCTTTTCTCCCAGGAATTTTTTTTGCCTTCCTTCAAAAAGCGCTTGTGTCATTCCTCTGATTTATACCTTCACGGTTATCAGAGCCATGGAAGAGTCCCTTCAAATTTTTAAAAATTTATATTAATCTTGTTAAAATTTAGATTACAGTATATTATACTGTATGAAATTAATGGCAGCCATCAGTTTTTATCTGTTTCCCTTTAGCACATCAAAAATACCTAAAATACTGAATGGTCCTAATTGAATCACAGTATATTCAAAAATGGCAAGCCAGAATCTTAAAAATAAATCCCATAACAATTTTGAAACTAGTTTTTTCTTTATTCTTTTTTTTAGTTACCACCTCATTTCCCATTTTGCTGAAAGACTGAAGTCTTGGCACTTGATTAAATAATAAAGGTTTAACTATCCTGAGTACCTCCAACATTTTTCCTTTATAATGCCACATAGTGTGTTTACTATAATCACTAACATTCTCAGAATATTTTAAGAGAGACTAATAGGCAGCCAGTACTTGCTTTAACGTAATCACTTGTCGATTGCCCAGTTCAATAAATCGGGAGTGTGTTAAGGGCTGTTGGGGTTACAGAAGTTCTTTTATACCCAGAGAC